AATTTACGGTGGGTGACTTCTAACCGATGCATAAGAGCGGAGGATAGACCGGAGGACCAAACGAGAGAGCAGTAATCAAACAAAGGAAGAACATAAGAGTGATAAATTTGTATTCGACAACCATGGTGTAGATGGGAGATGTGAGGAGAAATGCAGCCTATCGCGGAGCAAACTCGCTTTTCAATATAGGTTACGTGCGAATCCCACGACAAGTGTTCATCAAGAAATATACCAAGGTGTTTGTGATTTTTAACAATGTTGATAGCAATGGGATCATCAGGGAAAGTAAAAAGCCGAGTCGTAAAGAGGGTGAGGTCACTGGAGGGTCGTGGGGGATACAAAGGATTGCCGTTTTCGACACATTGGGGCGGAGTTTCCACTTCGACATCCAGCGCACAACTTGATTAATGTGATACTGTAGCGAGTCGCAGGCTTGTAAAAAGCCTGGCTCGGTTATATGGAGCGCTGTATCGTCCGCGTAGAGTGAGGTATGATCCAAACCTGCCAAATCATTAACGTATACGATGAACAATAGAGGCCCCAAGATAGAGCCCTGGGGCACTCCAGAGTGGACTGTTAGAGGGGCGGACAGCGCATGTCCAATTCGGACACTCTGTCGACGTTCAGTGAGATAGCTGGTGAGCCACTGCAGACACGTCCCGGCTACGCCAAACGCTGCTAACTTATGGAGGAGACCCCTTGTCCAGACAGTGTCAAATGCTTTGCTCAGGTCGAAAAAACATAGGAGGCTAAATTGCTTCTGATCCTTGCATTCATATAGCTTGTTGCCCCCCCAAAAAGCGGCGTGCCAAGGCCCATCGAGCACTCGGAAACTGTGATCGCATGCATGAGCAAACAGATTTTAGCACTTGTTCGGCTAGAAAAGCTCAAAAAGGGCGATATTCACCAAAAACGCAATAAAGGGCGAAAGAAACGGGCTTTTCCAAAAAGGGCGAAACAAAAAAAAGGGCGAGCACCTTTGCAGGCTTTGGGAAAGGGCTACTGCACTGCAGAACCATCCATTATTGTTTTCAAGAATGAGCTTCGCAAACTCACTTGCAAACATAGTGCTTCGCTCTCCGGTATGCCTACGCCATGTACATGTACATAGACCACCCTTTTCAGGTGATCTACGGATATTTCCCCTAGTTTGAGGGGATTATGGCTCATTATCCCCTCAAACGAGGGGATCTCATATCCACAGGAAATCCTGTGGATCCCCTCAGACGGTGGGTCGAACCCAATCCTTCTACCAGCATAACCAAGAGAGCTAGCTCCCTCCTAGCTCCCTTGACTGCTGCTTGAAGAATGGGCCTTCCAGATAAGGTCTAAAAAGAGGAAGTGGCTATAAGTTGTCAAAAGAAAAGCATATTGGTGAAACAAAACTAGGGAAGTGGCAATCTTTCTATCAGCAACAAACAAGAGCATCTTAATTTGCAACCCACTACATGAACCGGGTGTGCCGAACACCGGTAACCATAGAGACACACCACACTCTCATATAGATACTGGTTATAAATAGACCGAGTGAGGGGCCGTTTACATGAGGAAAATAAGCCCGGGCTTATTCGCCTCGGGCTTATTTTTCAACCGTTTACATGACGGTTGTACGGGCCTGAGTTCAGGTGAGTGACTGCGAGTTCTGCGCGCATTTTATTTTTCAAATCGCACATGAACGCAGTGGTAAATGTTCGTGTCTGATGAAATTTGGATCAAGAAATGCCGGCTCAGGTTTCTACTGCCTTTCCAATTGTCACTTATTTTTCGAGAAGGTGAAGGATGGGCTAGGACCTTCCACTGGACAAAAACTAGAAGAAAACATACCAAGAAATAAATAAAAGAGACGCACTGTCCACGGCCACATTCTCTCAGGTTCACGAGGCAAAATCGAAAAATACGGAAAAACTCGCTTATAAGCCCTTCTTGACCGTTTACATGACAAAAATAATTAATAAGCCCTGGGGGTTGGATAAGCTCGGGGGTCAAGGGTAGGGCTAGTTCAGCTCGGGGCGAGCTGAATAAGCCCGCCTGACTAAACGCGCGCTCTAAAATGACTGGGTGACAGATCAAGGCGGGCTTTAATAATATCGTAAGCCTAGGGTTGAATAAGCCCGGGCTTATTTTTCTCATGTAAACGGCCCCTAAGAAAAATAATCCAATAGCCTATGGAGAGTAAAAGAAATTGAGTCAATGACAACAAATGCTCGTCCAGCACACGAGTTGTCATAGAAACATTGAACGAAATGACAAAGACGCATAGTAATGAGCATCGCCGTTCAATGCAAACTTTGGTTTCTACAGTCCATTTCAAAACTATAGACGCGTACCTAGGCAAAAACCGTTATGCCAGCATCTATACAACATAAAATCTGTGATCACTTTGTGCATAAATTTTTCCAAATTGGGCGTCTGTTATTCAATCCTTTAGAAACTATATGAGAGTTATTGTGGAGCGATCCTGAGCAATATTCCGAAAACTATTCTCAAAAAGTTCCAGCCAAATTTGAAATATTTCAAAAACCCTACGCGTCTATAGTTTTGAAATGCACTGTAGTACAGTATTTGGAAAATTCCTTCTTTCACAGACCTGAAAGATAAATCTTTGCAGCAGTTAGCCTACTACTAACTCAATGTCATTGGTTCTACATGTACGTGTAGATGTACCCATTCACGCTCTACTGGTCTTGTCAAATTTGTTCCACACGATCACAAACAATCCATCTTATTTCGGATACTATTACAACATTTGACTAAGCCATGGGACGGACGTCAGTGTCTGACAATTCTTCATTGTAGTCTTTGATTTGTAGGGAATAAATCGCCTCCACGCCGGTAGGTGACAGACGAACAGAGCACCTCAAATTATTTTCAAATAATATCTACTATTTCGTCGTCTTCACTTGATCGCTATCAGTATCGCTTTTCCCCACGGTCTTGTCAGCTACCAACAAGCAGCGGATTTCATGAGGCTTCGTCTTGGGAGACAAACCAAAGAAACTTGAAAGTGTGTGACATTCCGCATTCGCCTCAAACCAATAAGTGGATCAAAACCAGGGAGTCGTAAAATACCTGGAGAAGCGACGAACAAATGACTATATCAGAACTACCGGTACGAGTCGTACTTCCGAAAAGTGTGGTCTATACAGGATATTGCACAGTGTCCGCGAGGATTATTTTTCATAATCCCCGCGGCGCTGCGCGCCTTGGGGATTTGAAAAATAATCCCCTCGGAACCGTGCAATATCCTATACATAACCACCCCCACCCCCCTGTGTGCTCCCCAACGCATTCACCATGTTCACGCTGCACAACTGTTACTTTTCACCAGGGAGTAGTCATAGCCCGAAATTGCCGGCAATTCTTTGAGCAATAATCGAAATGCCAGATTGCCGGCAATTTTTGAGCAATTTATCGAAAAGCGTTAGATTTCAGATGGGAATTTTGAATTTCCTCCCTAAAACTGGGCTAAAAACGCCGTTTCGTTCTTATAAAAGCGCGGATGACCGCGATTGGTCCATATGTTGGAGTCTTTGGCCGCTGAGTCAACTGGTTTTGGTCCGAAAAGGCTGCGATGCAGCGTTCGGCCCTTATTTCTGTTTGAGTAAGCGGTTACGTGCTCATTTACAGCCTGTTTGGGAGCAATTTGAGAGCAATATTTCGACTGCCAAAAGAAATGCCAGGCAAATTTTCGAAAAAGAGGCAGCAAAATATTGCCGCAATTTATCGGCTCGGGCCGGGCAATTTCGGGCTTTGACTACCAGGGAGTCGTAAAATACGGTATTTTACGACTCCCTGATCCGAATTTTAACCAATGAGCATAAAGAATTATCTTCGCGATATGGTGGAAATGTGACCATGTGAACCGGAATGCAGGAGTGCTACATGTACCGTAAAGTACCGCCAGAGCGCCCGCTGCGCCCCACCATCTCGTCCTTTCGTGGTCGCCTTGTGGAGGTGGATTCCTGTCTGTAGGTCATACGACACGGACCTTGTACAAACTTTGCACATTGTGCAGTCAATCCGTACCCAGTTTACCTTCGAGCTCCACATAAAAGCATACCAAGTGTGACCTTAGTACACGAAGGTTCCCACATCGTACAAACTTAGTAGCATTCTGCCATACGATTTTCTTTCCCTGGGTGTAAAATCAAGGTGGGGCGCTCTCGCGAGACGGGGCGCTCTGGCGGTACTTGTATGTGGGCCCACTCGGTCGGAGGTGCACACTACAGTCCATTTCAAAACTATAGACGCGTAGTGTTTTTGAAATATTTCAAATTTGGCTGGAACTTTTTGAGAATAGTTTTCGGAATATTGCTCAACTCCGCTCCACAATTACTCTCATTATAGTTTCTAAGGGCATGTTCGATTGGTAAGGATCGGGATCGGGATCCAGATCTCAGATCCCTCGGATCCTTCAGATTCAACTGAACACTTTATTTTGGACCTTGACTGTTGCCATGTTGAAAATGGCGCTCACAAGGCACCCAAAAGGGTGAACGTCGTACTCATCGCGTGCGTCGTACAAAAAGTCAACAAACTCTATCTCCATCCACGTGTGCGTACCACAATGTGTACAAAAATGATTTTTACCCGCCATATACGCACAAAGGTCACATTTGGATCCGTTGGATCCGATCAACCCTGCTCCCCGAGGAGGGTTGACCGGATCCAAATCCGAAGGATCCGGATCTGGATTCGACCAATCGAAAGGGTGCGAATCCAGTGGATCCGGTGGATCGGGATCCCGATCCTACCAATCGAACATGCCCTAAGCGATTGGATAACAGACGCCCAATTTGGAAAAAATTATGCACAAAGTGATCACAGATTTTATGTGGTATAGATGCTGGCATAACGGTTTTTGCCTAGGTACGCGTCTATAGTTTTGAAATGGACTGTACATGCACTTTTGGTATAACGACACACCTTGGAGGCAGGCGAAACCGAGCAGCCCGATGGAAATAGACCCAGCCATGGCCAAAGTGCAAACACCAACAAAATGAGACTGGAGCACCCACACTGACACAAGGCCACTGAGAAGTGCATCTGCAGCACACAAGTGAAATCCACCAGAAGCGTGAAAACACAAAAAATCAGGTTGAGCGCGGGGTCTGTGCGCGCCAAAAGGAAAACATTAGCCAGGCCAAGGGACAGCATAACAGCACAGGAGTAGATACCACATGATGAACAAGTGAACAAGAAATAAAGGAACAAAAAGCACAACAACAATGGCCACACTGGTGAGTGGTATATGTGACGAGAGGTAACAGGACAAGCAGTAGTCAATACGTGAAGTGCAACACGCCGTACAAGTCAAGACAGCACACAGAGTAACACATGATGCTAAGCGAAACAGAGCAGAAGTGAACATGGAATAATGGACCTAAGCAGAATGTACATACGCCGCGGAATACAATATCACCTAGTAGGAACGAGATGAGTAGTTCTGGCACTTCAATGTAGAAGCAGTACCGGGTACACACCTCGTAGGAGAGGTATGAGTAGCTCGGGCACTTGCAAAGAAGAGAGAGCTGCGTTTAGAAGCAGTACTGGGTACCTGCATGTACCTAGTAGGAACGGTATGAGTAGCCACCAGTGCCACGCTGCGCGCTTGACGGAGCACTTGCATAGTGAGAGCTTGCCTGTGGAGCAGCAGAGGTAGAAGGGCGACCAGCTGCTACAGGCGCATCGCGGCCGTAGGCAGACTGTGGGGGAGCGCCAGCAGACATGCCGCCGGAGCCACCTGCAGCACGCGAAGCAGCGGCAGGCGGCTGGGGACGGCGCTGCTGCAACTGAACAATGTGGGCCAGCTCGGCTAGCTCGGCTGCTGACAAGATGCTGTTACCAGTGCCCGCTCCACTGGCAGCGGCAGCAGCAACAGCAGCTCCTGAAGCCGATGCTGGGTATCCCACTGCTCCGCCCGTCGATGGTTCGGGTCCTGGACGGCCATGCCCATAATCGTGTGATTGGCTGCTTCCGCCACCGCGTCCTTCATAGGACGAAGCTGGTTGCTGACGACTTTGAGGCACCTGCTCAGCGCGGCGATCCGGGTAGCTAGCAGTCGCTGGCGAGTAGTCACGAGGGTCTGCGCGCACAGGCGGAGCCCGCTCGGCCGGTGCATGGTGATCATACTGCGAGTACGTACTAACCGATGAGCGCTGATCCGTGTAGTAGCGCGGTGGCGAAGCCTCGTTGGGCATGCGCTGTTCACGACTTGGTGCTGCTGCTGCAGGTGCGGCTGCAGGTCGGAACGCTGGCCAATCATCGGAAGGCTTCTTACGGTAAGACGAATCCATAGGAGCAGCAGCAGAGCTGCTTGCTGAGTAGGAGTCACGGCTTGCTTCCCTAGGAGGTTCAGCAGATCTGGACCAGCCGGCATTGGACTCTCGGGACCAATCAGAGGCAGGGGCAGGTGCTCCGGACGAGTAGCGAGACTGCTCGTAGGACGTGTCACGAGCGGGTGGCGGCATCTCCTGGCGTGCTGGAGCATGTCTGGCATGGTCTTCTCGGCCACGTGCCTCCGGAACACGATATGATGGCTCGTCACGACGAGGATAGGATGACCTGGGCTCTTCACGGGCATGTGGAGATGCATAGGGATCGTTTTCATAGCGAGGTGCAGCACGACCTTGGTCATGATGGGGCACAGGACGACCCTGATCATGGTGAGGTGCAGCGTGACCTTGATCATGATGCATAGGCTCCCGTTCTGGACGACGCACCGGCTCGCGTTCATATGCATCTCTCTTTGGGGGTTCGCGCACAGGTGCACGCTCGTCTCTATGCACAGCTTCGCGCTCATCACGGCGAGGACGCTCGCGCTCGTCACGCCGTGGGGGCAAGCGTGATGGCTCATGCCTCGCTGATCTGGGCTCTTCGTGTCTTGCAGGTGGCATGTCATTACGGCGCTGCTGGGGTGCGGGCTTATTGCCTCGCTCACTATCTCGCTCATAGCGCCGCGAGTCCTTTGCACCAGGGCCAGCCCTGGAGCTGCCAGCGGCTGACGACCGCAATTGCTCATCCTTGCCACCGTCCTTCTGCTGAGCGGCATTGCTCAGGGCGCCGAGGATAGCTGCTACGTTCTGCAGGTCGGGATTGCGGTTGATATTCGCCAGGGCTGCGGTACCAGCCGAGCCAAGCGTTGTCAACAGCGTAGCCAGGCCCGCATTATCATCAGCGCCAGTGTTGCCCTTAGCAAGATCACGACCTCCAGCAGAATGCGAGGAAGACTTGTCTGCTCGAGAAGCACGGTGCGGCGGTGATGGCGAGCGACGACGAGGTCGTGCTGACGCCTTGGGCAAGGGAGAGCGCCGGTGAGAACGCGATGCAGCGGCGGCAGCAGCTGCAGCTTCACGTTGCCGCTCCGCTGCAGCACGACGTTCTTTCTCACGTCTCTCACGCTCAGCCTCGCGCGCACGCCGCTCTTCGGCGGCACGCTCCTCCTCGCGTTTGCGGAGACGCTCGCTCTCTTCCCGCTCACGGCGTACTCTCTCTACTTCCTGACGACGTTGCTCTCTCTGGCGAGCGAGCATCTCCTGGCGCTCTCGCTCCTGGCGCTCACGAGCGCGCGTTTCGCGGAGGCGTTGCTGAGCAGCCCTCTCACGGTCCAAACGCTGGCGGCGCTCTCGCTCACGCTCTTTCTCTCGAGCCTGGTCTGTGGCAGAGGCGGGGCGTTGCCTAGCCTGATCACGATTATTGGCGGGACGGTTGGTGCGTCCACGTTCGCGAGCAGCATCCCTTTGTCTTGCCTTGGCCCTGTCGTCTGCAGTTACTGTGCGGCCTTGCTGGCCAGCAGTGACTTTGACACCGCTACTTCTGCCGGCGGGAGTGTTAGGTGAAGATTTCACCCCTGGCTTGCCACCACTGGCGCCACTGTTGCCACCGGCCTCGGACGTCTTGATAGAGATGGTTACGGGCCCACCGCGTTGGTCCACAGTGATCACGCGACCACCGCGATCTAATGGCACACAGAGACATTCACAAAATCAGAAAGGAGTGAGATAGAAAAGTAAGCACCTGGTGTAGGACCAACAGCAGCGAGGGGAAGGCAGGCCAGCACGCTGACAGTATTTCAATAAAGCAACCACACACAACTAAGACACGCTATAGCAAACCTCAGCAGGCATGTTCAAACGCAACCACTACGTTAGACACAACACAGTGGCAATGCACAAGAATAATGTATGAGGACATGTGAAAATACCTACCTCCAGCTGCCTTTGAACCTGGCGACGACTTTGCCCCAGGCCCATTGCTACCGGTTTTCGATGCGCCTTCTTTGCTTGGCGTACCCTGGTTGGAACTGGATTTGGCTTGCGCTGCCTTACCAGTAGCGGTGACTGGCCTCTTTGGAAGAGACAGGCTAGGATCGGCCTTGGCCTAAAAAGAAAAAAAAGAATGATGAAGAATGGACTTCAATGGTACTGCCAAGGACTGAGTTCTTGAATTCCCAGTGCAAAGCAAGCAAAGTAAAGGGAATCGTAAGTGATTACTACTCTAAGACAGCAACTGTCTACGGTCCACTACACATCTCCGTCTCTCCACAAATACAAACACAATCTGACTAGAAAGAGTGGGCTCTTTAAAAAATCACCGGGCCGTCACTATGAACGTTGAATATCATGAATTTCGAATACGAGCTCATGTATAATTTCCGGGTTACGAGCATTTTTCCTTACGGAAAAGCAGCCTGAACACGAATGTCGGAATCTTGTCGGGAGAGTCAATTTACTATGCTATGCCGTACATACAACATGTACAACCTGTGAGCATCATGCCAGAGGAAAATCAACTTGCTTTATCTTCAAAAGGCGAGTTTCAGCACTTGGTTCGCCTCTTATTGGAGCGCAAATTTGTCTTCCTAAACGTAGGTAGCAGAAACAGATTGGGCTGTACCGGCTCCAAATTTAGGGGTATGGTATGCTAGTATAATGCAACACAACTATTGTTAAATCAGTATCAATAAAAGGTGAAATTCGAAAGCCAGTTCACGTACAAGGTCGAGGCGAACACGCAAGTAAGCATGCGATCTTGGCACAAACAGTTGATGGTGGCACGGCACAGGTAGTAGGGCAGTAGGCAACGCAGACAAGGCAAGACACTAATACTACTGACAGTACTCTACCTTTTCCACAGTGATGAGTCGCTGCTGAAAGGTAGTGCGGTGCATCGCTGATATGCAGCGGTTTGCCTCCAAAATCGTGGACATGGACACATAGCCAAAAATGCGCCCCCTGGAGCGCGGGTGTGTAACAATCTTTGACGACAACACCTGGATAGGCGAATCACAAACAAAGATTAAGAAAGCAGCATCAGCAACAGACCGAAGAACAGAACTAACTTCAGGCCCTTCACAAGCAACCCTTCTGAACGTTTCCATAGAGAACAAGCCAACAACACAGGTACGTACCACATAATATCAATCAGCATTCTGACACAAACACACAAGTGACACGGTGACGGATTCAACCCAAATGAAAAGGGCGCATCTTACCGTGCCGTAGGCGCTGCACTTGGCTTTCAGTTCTGTGGCCCGCGCCGTAGAGTTAAGACCGGAAATCCACAGGCTGCGATTGGCCAGTTCCTTGGCCTTAGCCTTTTCCGCAGCTGCTCCAGATTGAGCAGGCCTTTTAGCACTAAATACACAACAGCATTGCCCAGGAAGAAGCAGAACAGCAGCAGACCAGGAAAGAAATAAGGTGCTTATAGTGGAAGGCAACCACCAGAACATCAGCTACAGCTGGAATCAAACAGAAAAAGCAATGAAGGAACACAGCAGTGATTGTATTGACCAGAACCTGTTCTGGTCCATACAATCAATGCACAATCAGATAGGAGTGCTACGCAAAGACGCTGGGCGACCCGACATGCGCAAACCAGAACCAGCCAGGCTTTAAATAGCCATGATGCACGACCATGCAGATGAGGAGATGCAGTCCCATGGAGAAAACACTTGGACACGCAGGAGAGGAGAACTCAAATAGCCTTTTCCACGCATCCAACATATGGCAGTGGAGCAGCTAGCTTCGAGCGCAGAGTTTCACGATCTTCAGCACCTTTGTGACTGAGCTGGTGTTTAAGGTACACCCGGATGACGAACGCACGGTATGAACATCCACCAGGAAAATCAATGCAATGCAGGGATCCCAATGACTGTATTGCCTTGTCCATTTCACAGTTTTCGCATTCTGCAACTCGGAGGATGTTGTCGAGGAGTAGAAAAGGGGTTTGTGTGCTGTTGGTCGCTGTGCAAGTAAAAAGCATCGCATCACATAGGTGACAAGGACATGATCATAAGTGGCAGTGGCTGGCATCCCTCCGCTGGCCCACTTGGCCAATACTTATGGCCTCCACTCCACCGAGACCTCTGACATGCTACAATTGCCCTCCAAAAACGGCACAGAACCCACGTGCCTGCTCTCAGTTGCTTGAACATTCGCCGACGCAGAATCAATGCTTCATACCTTGGTTGATGGAGCCTAGCTCCATAACAGTACAGCAGGTCCGAATTATCAACAGCAGGTGACGCGGTGTAACAGGGTAGAGAGAAACGGGGAGATTAACAGAAGTACGCACCGGTACCTCAAAAGACATCCCCGATAAAAAGCACCCTGGAGAAGTGGCTAATGACATGTGACTGGCATAAGTGGCAGAATGGCAGGCACACTAATCCTTGGGTTCCTTTTCTCATTGGCAAAGGCCAGCTGCACTGGCGCAGTGCAATCCAGCTGTCAAACACAACCTATTCCCATAGGAGCTGTAGACCTGTGGTCTGAGGTGATTTTTCTCCATCGCCGCTGATCGCTATGTGCTTGGTGCACACTAAGAACAAAACACTCACTAGGAACTTTTGATGCTAGTGTAAATGCTGCGGTTGCTACTGCTGCTGCTGCAGCAGCAGCAACACAGGATGTCATCGGTGACCTGTCACTAAGGCGACACAATCTTACCTGCTGGCCGCCGTGGTGGTAGTGGGTGCAGCTTTAGTGGCAGTGATGTCCTTTCGAGAAGACGCCGCTGCTCCAGGAGCACTTGGCTTCCCAGTCCCTGCGGTCTCCTCGGAAACGCTACCACTGCCCATGGTCTTGGCTTTCTCCTGCTCGTCATCCTCGGCATGCAGCGTGATTCCTTCCACGTCGTAGTCCAGGACCTGGCGATCAAGATCATCGTCGTTTAGAAGATACGATGTGGCCACGGTTGCGGCCAAGAGTGACGGCGTTGACTGGGCTGTGCCTTCGTCCAGCGTGGGGGTACCGGGAGCGTCATCCGTGTCGTCGTCGTCAGCGTCAACATTGGCTACGAGGGCAGGAGTGTCATCTTCACCAGTGATACCGTCAGCATCTTCCTGCTCGTCGTCATCCATGGCAGCAGTAGCCGAGCCATCGTCCATTACTTCTTCAGTATTCACGTCCACTTGAGCTACACTGATAATAGCGTCATCTTGGTCGAGACCGTCGGCATCTTCTAGATCGAGTTCATCCGGGACACCTACGGCATCTTCTTGACCCTCTTCCCCGCCATCCAACTCAGCGTCGTCAGTCAAAGCGTCCAATGCGGCCGCAACCTCCGTATCGCTAGCGTCTTCACCAAGCGTATTCTGGCCGTACATTTCCTCTTCATCGGCCACGGCAGCACTTGGCTCCTGCCCCTCGGCATAATCTTCATCATCTTCGCACGTGGAATCATCTGTTGAACAGTAATCATATGGGTGCACCCAAGCCAACACATTTTAACAAAGCAGAGCAGCAGCAGAAATACGCTGCTAGGCGTGCATGCATGCTCACACCCGCACACCCCGGCACTTAACGCCACACGTACCCACGCACATGTATGCACACCCAGCAGTAGCAGACACGCCAAGCATGACACAGCCATACAGCATGCAGCCATACAGCACACAGTTGAAAGCAACTGCATCATTCTGGCAGTGAGAACTGCACGGCAATGAGCTCCAGGACCATTGGAGGACTGTTGGCCGGTTGAGCTTTAGAAGAAGGCATGATGTGTGAAAATACCATTTCACTGGATACAGCACGGGCGGCTATTGCCCTCAACCTCCGCATACTAATGCCATTCAATCACTTGCAAGCTATGAGACCAGATATGTCGACGGTATTGCCCACAACTAGGCATTATAGCCGATCGAGAGAGTCTCGTCCATTTGCTTCCAGTGCATTGAGAAGTTTCCGCATGGCCGCAACCAATCTCCTGTGTTGGACTTCGTACATTGGTTAGTGGCCAGGATACTAGCAGCCAATGAGCTAGGACCCAGCAAAAATGTGTCCGCACAGCTTGGGTGCTATGGATCATGCCAGTGCCGTCCATCAGTTGTGTGAGTTGTTGATAGCCTCGATGATCCATACTAAGTGATCAGGAATCAGAAAAATTGCCATATGTTACGACTCTCAATGATTCCACTCCGTTGTAATTGCTCCGTCTTTCTTTACGTTGCAGACGTTCACCCTGGTCAAAAGTTGTTCAGGTTGCATCAAATCGATTCCTGTCAGACAAGAGCAAGCAGTGGGCCCTCTACACTGCACCAGGGAGTCTGGATATCACAGAATTCCAGTGGTTGGTTTCCACCTCCGCAATCGCAAGAGGAAGCAGGGAACTTGAACTGTATCATATTGCCACACTGCAGTGACCACTTCAACCATCCAGATGTGGCCGTCTGCAGAGCGGTGGCCTAAATCTCAGAGTTGTGAGCCCAGAGGCGTGACATTGTTCATCTTCAGTTGGAAGCTTGTTGATTGGATACTGGAATACATACATTGTCTGTCTCCAGTCAAGATAGAGCCGAGCAATAGAAGAGGAGCAGAAAAAGCAGAGCCCAGCAGCACATTTCCATCCATGGCAGGATACATTAATCCAGAGAGCCTGCCACCAGCAAGGCATGGGTTGCACATCGGCACCCGAGTAGCCAGTTGACCGACCATGTGTGGCACATAGGGACAGCTAGCCTGGACTTGAACTCCAGTCATGTGAAGGGGAGACAGACTAGATACACCAAGCAGCATGGGCGACACAGCACTCAGCAGTACGTACACCATGATGACAGACCGGCCAGTGCCGAGCGCTAGCATATCTAAGTTCTGGAGAAAACTCACAAGGGCAGGTATTTCATTGCTTCAGTATGCTCCTCTCCCCCCGCCCTTCCTGACCCCGGACAAATAATGCTCCCGTGCATCAGGGGTGCAACCACACTGTTAACAGAACCCAGGACACATACCTTCCAAGACTTCTGGCAACGCCGCCTACAGACACAAACAGAGAGAAGAGAGAAGGAAATCGTGACTACAGGCAGTAGCAGCAGCAGCAACACTCAGTGTGCTTTGCCGATGTTTACCTTCAAGGCAATACTACACATTGCAGGACTTTGAAAAGTTTGAATCATTGCCCTACGTGGAGCAAAACGTGAGAATCGAAGAAATTTGTGGAGTTGGTTGCAATATCAGGCTCACTAGAGCAGCTCTCAAAAGGGATGAATGCGACTCTTTTGCTCCTGTGGGGAATCTAGTGGCGATATTTGGATAGAGGAAATTGGTAGCTTTCCAAAGAGACCAAGAATCTTGGTCTCTTTGGAAAGCTACCAATTTCTTCATCCTGAAGATGAAGAAATTCCACCACTGGTGAGTGAAATTAGATTTTTTTTAATGCATACTCAGGCTGCTGCACGCCTCAGCGCACCCTGGCAGGAACACATGGGTTTAGTGGTAGTCCTGAAAGGGTTAATACTTGTCTTTTTGGTAGGACTGGTTCGCATTGTAGGATGCTCACAATTAACCAGTTATAACATAGCTAATCAGGCATTATCCATCGGTCACTTACATCATCATCATCCCCAAATCCTATGCTTTCGACGTCTGTAAAGACACACAGCAACCATGCATTCACACGCATGAGTACACACAAACACACACACACAAAGCAGACCACTTTGCACAACGTATAGGCATACTCTCTGAATATAGAGACTATCTGGCGATGGTTTTCACGGGTCACTAAGTTCAAAGTAACTACAGACAGTACAGTGTAGAGTGCTTGAATGATCCTCCTTGTCTCCCTGCCCACAACCGTTCACCTGAAGGGTATTTCTTAGAAGATTTTCTATGCATGTGTTTTCCCTAAACCAGGAAGCCAAGCACGAAAAACGTAGTTTTGGCATTTTGTTGGCAGCGCCTGCCCAAGAAGCCAGTAAAGTGGGGTGAAAAGTAGTTTGCAACATGTGATTCAACTGCCAGCTATTGTTATTACTTATCCATTTACACTGGGCAGGAAATAAGTGGAAAATCGGATCTAGGAGAACTATGCAATTGGTTATTCAGAGATTGTCTGAGATACGCGACGTATAATGATAATCGATACACTTCTGAAGCACTTGCTCAAGCTCTGACACATGATGACATACAGCTTTCGACAAATTTTTTAACCCGTTATGTACGGTGTGTACGCGAATCGATCACATATGATCGATCCGTAAAACCTTCGTAACTCCATCATGTCTTGTCCGAATTCAACAATCGAAGGGTCTATTCAGTAGCGGAAACTCTAAGCTTTCCAATGCAACAATCGCCGAAGAGCTACGATGTACGAATCCAGAGATATCGCGCGCCGTATTCTTGTATCGGCAAATTCAAATTTTTTATCGATCTCTTCGCCATTTTAGGGGGAAATCCCTTTTCGTGTGCTCTTTGACCAACTCAGCACATGATAATGACGTAGTTGGCTGAAGTTTGAATCGCCTCGAAAAGATTTGAGCGTTCTGCGATAAAGGAGAGTGGAATGGCGTTGATAGGGAAATTTGCTCGCATATTGGGCTTGGAGACGACTTTGATGTGTTCCTGTGCCTGATTTGTGGCAGCTAGTTGATGGATCCTGGTATCCTCGCGTTGCTCTCGCCAGGAGCTTTCCAAAGAGCCCAAGATTGTGGAAATGGAGCGAATGAGGCCAAAGTTATAGCCTGTTGAAGGTGAAAATTGTGCTGAAAATTCAAATTCTGCTTCATTCTGTGCTGGAAATCAGTACATAAAGGGTTAAGGTCGAATAGGGTTAACCGCCATAGGGGTAAAGCTAGACCAGGAACAATTTTCACTTCGCTGCCTACAAGACTCAGACAAGGGTTCTAGCAAGCTAAGTATGCACTAGGCAGGAACAAAACATTGACATACCTTCTTCCATCACAGGCCCCGTCAGCTGTACAAAAATGAGGAAAAAACAACAACAAAAAAGTTAAATGAATGGATCAGGGTAACTGGCTTCACAGATTACCTGTGCCATGCCACTGAACCCCTTAGACACCATAATGCAAGGAGGGGAGCATCAATTTCAAGGATCTATGATCAAGTTGAAAGATGGAAAAAAAAGGCTGATGAAGAAGCAGCAGTTTACAGCAGCTTTGAGATGATTGAACTGAGGAACATTTCCAAGAGCCACTAATCATAAGATCACCGTAACAATACGAATGCTATGAATGTTACAGCAGTGCCTCATGACCACCTTACCTCATCAGTTCCCAAGGCTTCTTCAGCTGTTGCTTCCTCTTCTACAGGTAGACAAATCCAGCATCAACACAAAGACAATAATGTTTATTTTTATTCTGTTTTTGAAGCACAAACTCGATATTAGGCTGCATTCGATTGTGGCAATGAGACCTAGAACCCTGCCAGCCGATCAATTTGATCGAACGGATCAAAAAGAACAGTTAAAACCAGGGAGTTGTGAAAGGGCTTTCATGACAACCCAGTTCAAACTGATTCCAGACCCACAAGAATGGGGTTAGCATAGTAAAAAAGAATGGCACACCCAAATCTCTGGTTGCAAAGGGTATTCATGCGCAGGGGCAAGGGAATTTTGAACCGTGTAAAACAAATGAGTGGCTCAGTATCCGCGTGTGAAAAAAAGCAAAGATATTTCGCCAATGTTGTAACTTGTAAGCAAAGCGAAAATGGATCCGTCGAATTTGCTTTTGGGAGATGCGTTGACCAGATCCGAATCCGTGCGACCTGGGTCCAGATTCCTACAATGAAACAGGTCCAAATTTGGTGAAACCAGGATACGCCCGCAGCCCACGGATTTGCACAATCAAACGTGCCCTTGTTGAAGGCTGGGATTCGGGCCACCCGGCACACAAGTTTGGGTTCTTGTTGATACATGGCATGGTCCTTTTTATTTTCCATGAAATATTAGGTTGAATAAAAGTCTGATTGGAGTGTATGAGTGATCTTCATATCAGATTGTACAGGGGAAAAAAATCAACTCCACAGTACATGCACACTCTCACACTTCACATCTTACTGGTTGTCATTGCTTTCATAATATTGGGCAGAACTGCCCGTTTGACATGCGATGTAAAATAAATAAACAACAACAACAACAACATCTACCAAACCGTCTAGATCAGAAACACTGGAATAGTAAACAGCTTTGCGTGACTTGTCAAGGTAACCCAAACCCACCTTGACTTGCGATCGTCTCACTGTGAATGGACGTCTGTGATGTACTTTGTGATGTACTTTTCCTGGGCGAATCCTGCAAAAATGAAGGGCAAGGAAAAAAAGAAAACAAATTATAAAGGACACAGATTTGGAGCCAAGAATATAATTAGGAATGAGAAGACCTAAAGAGTACTACTACATTTGTAGTTGTCTACCAATTTATTGCCAAAATACTGAGGGGGTCAGAATGTGAGGCATTCGGCACAATACACACGAATGGTATTGACAATCAACGACCTGATATTTAGCTTTGGTGCGTCTCGCATGCGCTCACCGAAGCCTTCCAACTTGGAAGGGGCTTGGTTATGTGCTCGAGGTGATCTGTGCTGTGCGATGGTGTACCACCACCTTTCCATCATAGCCAGCCGTATTTGTTTATGCCTTGAGTGCAATAGCAAATAGTGATGAATAGAACACGTTGCCACGTTCGTTTCTGGGAGGGGGGGGGGGGGGGCAATAGTTTTCGTTTCTAAACTGAAGAGATGGGAAATTATGGACGACCCCTAAATTGCCGCCTGTAAAGATCTAAAGCAGTGGTCGGAATGGGGGAAGAAACATCGCTTGTCGTCTGGGTTAATTCTCAAAATGAAGCGGCTGCAGCATGAAGGCCAACTTAATTTCATGAAGGGCCTTCAATGCCAATACTAAAGGGCGGTCCAAATCCACAAAGATTCAAACCCAAGCTTCCACGTACATACTTTCTGTGTGTTTTCATGCCTGTGCATGACAAATCGCCAAAAGGTCTCCCTCAACGCAACGAACTAGGACTGGTACAGATGAGGATTGTAATCGTGCCAACGCGAACCTCTCGGCCCACTCCCGCATGAAGATGAAAGCAGCAGATCCATAATATATTTACACAATACTGGTACGCACAATCATTATTATTGATGAAAAATCGTTCACGAAAAAAAATTCTCACCGAGGGCAAAGAAGGAGTCCTTGATCCTGAGGAAAGCCAGGGAAAAAGGACGTGAAAACACGCAGTTAGGCCAAGACAGAACCCACAACAAGAATGATGAGAGAAATGAATGTAATACTTGACATCCAAGAAGATAACACTGATTGCGGCAATTCTGGACAATGCTCTTCTTACCCGTTGTGGGCCGTGCAGCACGGCGTGCCTCTTCACTTGCTGATATTTCGATAACTTCAGAATTCTCTCCAGCCTCAACAAGAGCCTATACCGTGCGGTGGGAAAATACACATGAGAGGAAATAATCATGACCTCTTGCTGGCGCAGACAGAGCGTATTCAAAGCTTCTTCTTTTCCTTACGCTCTTCAGTCGGTCAACAAGAACGGATTTCACACCAGTTTTATCCAAATTCCTGCGCTCGAGCTCAGCTCGAAGATCCACGACACGCAGGTCGACAATATTAACCTGGCGGGACATGGCTAAGGATATCTAAACCTAGCCTACATCTACTAGATTCTCTTCCAGCGGCGTGCTAAAAAACAAACAAAGCAACGTTGCGTCGACAACAAGCCCAGCTCCGTACCATGAGGCAACTGTTTCTTGTTGCTGAAAAAAATTGAAAAGAACATGCAGTCGTGTTATCATGTTCAGTCTCAAGTAGATCTACGAGTCCAATGCACGCGCACACGGTACTGCTGTACTGGTAGGGCGCAGCTAGCTAGCTTTCGCTTTCCGCGCCGCGCGCTAGCACTTTTTGGCTGACGTCGCTTGTCGCCCCCCCCCCCCCCCCCCCCCGGGGCCCCCTACCAGTCCGTGCGCCAGACCACGTTTTGGCCCGATTTTTATTTTCTGCGCGGGAACCGTGCATACATGTACATGCAGACGTTATGCAGGGAAAGATGACGACGCCGGTCAGTAAATTGTTGGTCGATTTGTTGCCTACCTCGAGGCCAGCCGGTGAAATGAGGGCTTCCTTCTTCAAGAAATATGTTTCCAGTCGTTAGTCGGATGCCACTCGTCTTCTAAACATCGTACTTGATGCAACCAGCGCAGTTGGATGGACGGGAGGCGAGGAATTAATATTTTTTATCGTTTTCGATTTTCACCCTATTCTGGGTTGCCATTACATTGCAGCTGGCAGCACCACGAGGGAATTTTTTGCACAAGGGAGACTAGGTGAATTCAACTCCTCAGAGATATCGCCATGACAGGGTAAGGTTATTTTAGCCCTGAAATTGTGTACAAACCAACGGCACGAAATTATGGAAATATTTATTTTTTCGCGATAATTGCATGTCGGTTGAAAAAATGTAGCCATCTTTGTATTGTGGCATCCTGGCGGTATATTTCGTAACTATACTGCATGCTGTTACTGGCCAGTGCTCTGTATCTGAAATGGCCAAGCGGGACAGGTGGAAGCTATTAGGACATATATTACGCCAGCCAAGTGACATCCCTGCAAATGTTGCTCTCACTGCTTTCTGTACATATGCTACCAGTCAGCCCTTTCGAATAGGTGCACCCCGCTCTTGCCTCACCACAAGTCTCCAGCAAGACGTCCGCCTCACACCTATCTGCATTTTTAAGCCCAGCTGCCTTCGTGATCTCGGCACCTATGCCCGCGACAGAAAACAATGGAGTAACATCTGCTCAGCCATTTAGTCTAGTACTGCTCTTCTTAAATTTGACCTTTATTACAAGGCTCTTCTTTTCTTTTTCATTTCGTTCTCCCACTCTCACCCACACATGCTCACGGTTAATTCTGCCGTCGTGAGTCCCATTCGGGACGGATACGAGAATAATAATAATAATCGTAAAATGGCAATAAATAAGATAAATTGTGCACTCATAACAACAGCAAAAATGAAGAAAGTCAAGTTCCATAACTTTTTCTTGTGACTGTCATCAGTGGAACGCCGTCACATAAAAATGTAATAACTAAAACACACACTTATATACATGTAGCTAATATGGTTTCAGGTAGAAATACAGCAGCTAACAAGTACAAAAAGCGAAGTTTGCACCTTTGTAATGTGTGAATATAGTGTATGTGAGAAAGGTAGTGGCAGATGAATGTGATACTGTGTGAATGAATGTAATGGTATATAAGTGTGTGTTTTAGTTATTACATTTTTATGTGACGGCGTTCCACTGATGACAGTCACAAGAAAACGTTATGGAACTTGACTTTCTTCATTTTTGCTGTTGTTATGAGTGCACAATTTATCTTATTTATTGCCATTTTACGACTATTGTCTCCTCGTCGATTGTTTAAATAATAATAATAATAATAATAATTGTAAAATAGAAAAGGACATATGGATACGAGTTTAGAGTAACTCTCCATCACTGTAACATGTTACAGTGATGGAGAGTTACTCTAAACTCGTATCCATATGTCCTTTTCTATTTTACATTTATTTATGGCTCAACATCCGAGTTTCAAATAATAATAATAATAATAATAATAATAATAATAATACTGCATGCCAATATTATTTATGAGAAATGGCAGCGATTGCAGCGATTGTGAACAATGTACAATCAACAGCATTGGCAAAATTGATGCAGAGCTGTATGGTACTTTAGTACAATTACCTGTATATTGGTATTTTACACACAATGCATGAAACAGAAGAGCAAAATTATTATTGACTTATCAATTTATAGTTAGGACATGAATATGAAACCCATGACCAATGCCAATGACCCAGGGTCTGTGCACCTGCATTCAAATATATAAAAAATCCCCTGTGGCATAATCATGTACTCTGTGCACACATACTTGGGGGGGGGGGGGGGGGGCGATACTTGCTGCTTTACACGGTGGAAATTGTGGTGCTATGCTGCTTGGTATGTGTGTGCGTGCGTGTGTGTGTCTGTGTGCGTGTGTGTGTCTGTGTGTGTCTGTGTGTGTCTGTGTGTGTGTGTGTGTGTGTGTGTGTGTGTGTGTGTGTGCGTCTGTGTGTGCACACTTCACTTTCCGGCTGTGTATTGATGCCTATGTAGATATTGTAGATATCGTACATGCACTCTTATGTAGTACTATGTACGCACTTGCAGGCATGCACGTGCTTGTACCGCTTTATGTATAGCACGAGAGAGATGACATGGCGCACTTCTGTTAGAGAACTAAAGAAGATCTGTTTAGCACAATGGCTGTCTTGTGAGTGACTGAATAGATGTCTACATTGGCGCAGTGAACGAAAATGACAAAGGGCAGGACGCCCAAGGAATTTATTCCTGACTACGCTGCGAGCAACGTCGGTGCTGATTTTGAACTCTGGCTCGAGGACATAAATGATTTCCTTTCAATCAGTGAAGTGACGGCAGCAGCTGACAAGAAACGCTTGTTCTTGAATCTGGCTGGATTAGCAGTGAGGCGCATTGTGAAAGGTCTGGTTGTCACGGTGGAGCAGACACAAGATGGCTCACCTGGAGATGAGTACCAAGCCTTGACGGACGCATTGTTGGCACACTTTCGACCGTCAACAAATGTCACGTCTGAACGTCACAAATTCCGCCAACTCCGCCAAATGGAGGGCGAGTCGGTGACTTCGTTCGTTGGGCGGCTGAGAGAAAAGGCAGATGTTTGCGAATTCAGCTCCACTTCTGTGGATACCGTTGTCAACTGCCAAATTCGAGACCAGCTGATCGTGGGCCTGCGTTCTGTTGAGCTTCGAAAGGAGCTGCTGAAACAGTCGAAGCTGACCCTGAACGACGCCGTCACCAAGTCAGTGGCGTTGGAAGCGTCGATTACTGACAGTAAACTGTACGATAGTACCAGAGCTAGTGACGCACCGCCTGTGTTCCCCGTGCCCATCCAGCGTGTGCAAGCTGTCTCTGCAGCTGGTTCTGGATCAGAGGGAAAGAAGTGCAAATACTGCGGACGTAGTCACAAACCAGGCATGCGTAACTGTCCTGCGGCCAACGTCACCTGCAACAAGTGTGGCAAGCGAGGGCATTTTGCAGCGGTCTGCATGTCAAACAAAGTGGAAAGACACGAAGAAAGAGCCCGGCCAGTAGAGGATGAGCCTGATGAGTATGAGCATGCAAGTCGCATGTACGACTCCGCTTTCGCCGTCAGTAGCTCGGCCCTCGCAGGCGACAAGACATTCCAGACTACACTCAAAGTCAATGGTGAGCTGTGCACTGGACTGTTAGACACAGGTGCAACTCGGACGATCCTCACTGATGATGTGATCAAGCCCACGCGCAAGAGTGACCGCTTGCTGAAAGCGTACAATGGCGGTGTCGTAGAGACTTTAGGCATGGCCGACGTCCACATTTCACATGGTGGCAAGAACGTGAAGTGCAGTTGTGGTAGCAGCCAGTCAGCACTCCGTTCTCTTCGGACAGGATGTCATCAAGGAGCTGAACCTCCTGTCACAAGCAAACGTGGTGAACGTGTCACCCATCGAAATCTCTCTGGAAGACGGTTCAAAGCCTCTAGCCCAGCCACCACGACGCCCAGCTTTCAGTATCCGGGCTGACATCGAGACCGAGCTGAAACGGCTGACCAAGTTGGATATCATTGAACCCGTCAAGGAAGCCACGCCGTGGGTGTCACCACTTGTTCCAGTCCGCAAACCGAATGGAGCATTGCGACTATGCGTGGACTACAGAGAACTGAATAAGAGAGTTACACGTGAGCGCAACGTTCTTCCAACCGTTGACGAGATCACAACTCAGCTTGATGGCGCAGGGGTCTTCTCAGTTCTGGATGCGGAATCTGGATTCCATCAGCTACTCTTGTCAGAAGAAGCAAGGCCTCTAACGACTTTCTCATCGCACTGTGGCCTGTTCCGTTTCAAGCGTTTACCTTTCGGTATTGCATGTGCGCCTGAGATTTTCCAGCGAGTGGTGTCCGACATACTGGAAGGCCTGCCAGGAGTCATCGTCTACATCGACGACATCCTAGTGTTTGGCTCCAATCAAGCAGAACACGATGCACGGCTAGAAGCAGTCAAGCAGCGACTGCGAGCAGCTAACCTCCAACTCAACTGGACCAAGTGCCGACTGAACCAGGACCGTGTGAAGTATCTGGGACATTGGCTAAGTGCGACCGGCTTGTCCCCAGATGATGACAAGTTACAAGCCATCCAGGAGCTGGCCCCTCCGAAATCTATCTCTGGTGTGCGACGGTTCCTGGGGATGGCTACGTACCTTGGAAAGTTCATTCCGAACTTGGCCCAGATCACGGCTTCTCTGCGCAGGCTAGCAAAGCGTGATCCCTTCAGTGTGGATGATGAAGTCCTGCAGGCATTCACCTCAGCAAAGGCTGGTATAGCGTCAGCTTTGCAAGCGTTGGCATTCTTTCAACCAGCATTGGACGTCCCTACTGCTATCAGCTGTGATGCATCGCCAGACGGTTTGGGAGCAGTCCTGTGGCAGAAGAATACCAGTGGCTGTTGGGTACCAGTGACATGTGCCAGCCGCTCTCTATCAGATGTTGAGTCACGCTATTCTCAGCTGGAACGAGAGATGCTGGGAGTGGTATTCGGCCTGACTCGCTGTCGGCAGTATGTACTAGGCCGAGAAGTGCAAGCGTTTACGGATCACAAGCCGCTTATTTCTATCGTCCAGAAGCCGTTCGACGAAGTGCCACCGAGGCTTCAGAGATGGCTGGTCGCATTGATGCCCTATCGCTACAGCTTGGTGTTCGTCCCTGGTCAGCAGATGGTTTGTGCTGACACCCTCTCTCGAGCTCCTCTACCTGATCGCACAGCTTCACCTGCAGAGGCACGTTCAATGGCGGAATTCGTTAGTCTCATTCTCGAGGCTTGTCCGGTTCGTTCCAAGGATATTCGCCAGGCCACGGACTCTGATCCGACACTGAGCAGCGTCCGACAAAGAGTGGGCACATCAGTTTGGTCAGGGTGCATCCAAACCGAAGAGCCTTACTTCCTGCTACGCCATCAGCTGACAGTCATTGACGGAATTGTCATGCTAGACAATCGCTACGTCATTCCAGAAGAGCTCCGCCCAGCGGTGCTGCGACTAGCACATGAAGGTCATCCAGGCATCGATGCATTCCGGGATACCCTTCGCGAACGGGTTTGGTGGCCAGGTCTCATGAAGGATGCCAATCTGTTTGCAGAGAAATGCTCTGAATGCTGGCGTTAACGCTCCAATCCAGCGCAACAGCTCCTCCCTACAGAGATAGAAGGTGTCTGGCAGAAACTGGCCATTGATCTTGTTACCATTGAGGGAGCCACGTTCCTGTCTGCTATTGATTATGGTTCCCGCTGGCCAGAGCTTCTACCACTGTCCAATACTACGACAACGGGTGTGATCGACAAGCTGATGGAGTTGTTCGCACGGTTTGGTCTGCCTTCAACACTCGTCTCGGTTTGGGGCCCACAGTTTGCATCCACTGAGATGTCCAAGTTTCTCGCTCAGTTGGGTGTTGAGCATTGCAAGTCTAGCCCCCGGTATGCCCGCTCTAACGGTATGGTGGAGCGACTACATCGTCTGGTGAAAGAACGAGTTGCCAGTCTGAGACCTCATCTACCGCTACACCGCCGCATCACTCAAGTCTTGTTCGACATTCGCAATTCGCGGCACCGGATGCTAGGTACATCGCCGAGCGAAGCGTTGTTCAGCAGAGTCATTCGGACACGGGTTCCAGCATCCATCACCCCACAGATCGTCAACCCATCTGAGCAGATCAAGGCGAAAGCAGCAATGGTTGAAGGTCATGACTCGCGCCGAGGTGTCCGCAAGTTACCCCATTTGCCATCAGGTACGCGGGTAGTGCTCCATGATGGGTATAGCGACCCTCGAAAAGAATGGAAGGTAGTAGAGCAGTATGGTCGTCAGGTTGGGGTCACTGATGGGTCACGCATACTGCTCCGGAACCGTCAGCATGTCACCGAGTTTGTAGCACCAGCAGCAGCAGCAGCGGAGAAAGCACCCATGAGTGAACCTCCGGCACAGTCAGAGAGGGAGCATGTGCCAGAGCCAGTGTGTGCTCCAGCACTGCCAGTGTCCGACCCAACAAGCCTTCCGTCAGCGAGCAGCGCAACATCCAGGCCCGAAGCTCCGGTAACTGCGCTCACATTGCCGTTGTCTCCTGCAGCTTCACCGGAGACGACAGCACCACCTGCAACACCGGCCTGTATGTCACTGTCACCGCCAACATCTCGTCCAAGTGTATTCCGCGAGGGCGTACAGACCAGAGCTGGCCGTCAGATCAAGCTTACAGAGAAAGCACGTGAAGCTGACATCTGAGTCGTCGAGTCATGCATTACCAAATGAGTGGCTTCAATCGCTACCAGATTGGCGTTGTTTAGAATCTTCAAACTACCTTGTGAATATTTAGATTTTTCTTTATTTTTTCCCCTTATTGGTCGAGTTTGCATTGTAACTCAAACTCATGGTGTTTTTGCCTCAAGTTTTGAGTCAGATTATTTCTAATAGTTGCAACACATGTACGTGCATTCCTCTGCAAGCTGCAGGATACGGATGCAAGTGTTTTTGTTTTGTTTTTGTTTTCCTTTTTTCTCTTTCTTTTTTTTCTTTTCTTTTTGAGGGAAGGGGGGTAATGTAGATATCGTACATGCAGTTGTATGTAGTACTATGTACGCACGTGCAGGCATGCACGTGCTTGTACCGCTTTATGTATAGTACGAGAGAGATGACATGGCGCACTTCTGATAGAGAACTAAAGAAGATCTGTTTAGCACAATGGCTGTCTTGTGAGTGACTGAATAGATGTCTACAGATATCACCGTGATCAACAGGGTCAAACGCTTCCAGCGGACAACAGTGGATCACCTCATTTCTCCCACTGGAGTGGTCCTAGCTTGAAGTGATGTATGACTATCAATTCTATTGACTAGCCTTGAGGCATGTACCAAACGTCAGCATGTCTGTGATATCAATACATCACACTTACATTTGAAAGCTATATGCTGGAAGGCAGTCAAGTGGGCTTTTCGTCAAACACAACTCTACCAATGAAATGAAAGCAACGGGCAGAGACCACTAATGGTAGGGCCATACAAGGTGGCTGTGCCAGTGGGGAAGACCCAGCTCAACAAGGTGTTATTGCAAGTTTGATCGGAACAGCACCCTGGTCCAAATCCTCAATATCAGTGAATCTTACTGGTCCATGTGGCTGCTGCCTTGACTCGTGATGCCTACGATTGGATGCAAGCTGCACGAAGTATGTTGCAAAGAAGAGTACAATGGATCTTGAACTTAGCACGAGAGGCGTGCACTTCGTTGATAACAGCAGAATCTTTGCATGACTATCATAACACTCTCCTTATTGCAATATTTAGCCAATGCTCCATTTGTTGTAGCAGCTACCACACAACTATACAAGTATGCATTCATTACCTGGCTGGCTTGTATAAACTTGTGAATGCAATCACGTGATGCTTTGTGCACATATGCTCCCATACTTTAGCGGATGTGCGCGTGTGTGTGTGTTTGTGTGTGTGTGCATGTTTATGGGTGTGTATGTTCGTGCACGTACGTACGTGTACATGTCTGTGCGTTTACATGTACATGCAGACGTGTGTGGGTCTGTTGAAAAAAGCGCATGAACACGTGTCAATTCACGTGTGCATGTATGTACGGGTGTATGGTAAACGTATTCTTTGCTCCATGCGTCCGCCGTGAATGAAGGTACGAGACTTTATGTGTCATAGCTTGTGGCGGTTGTTCTGTAAATAGTAGCACCGTATCCTGGCCATCCGCAGATGCCATTTCTTCACTTCAATTCTGCATTGGCTCAGGTGCTGTGTTTGTAGTGTCATCCTCTCTGCATTAATTATTTATATTTCTTTCCCACCTCAGTACTGTATTTGGCTTGATATTGTTGCTGTTGTACATACAAGATAGGCACATGCATTGATCTGCGAGGGTTTGTGTTTGGAGCTCCAGCAACCTGTTGGGGTTCGTGTTGTTTGTAAATTCGTGGTCTACGGATACAATGGTCTGGCTGGTACATCGCAGAATACTAGTAACTAGGACCCCTTGAACGATTCTGTCGGTCGTTCATAAAGTCCACCAATTGAAGACATGTGTGTGTCAAAATGTGTCAAAAATACAGTGTTGACGAAACGGTTGGTATCACCGCTGTCGGATTTTTGCACAAGCCAAAATTGGAGGATACACTGTTGGCTAATATTTCTTTCTAATTAAATAAGCAGGAAATAGCAAAACCCTTGTACAAACCAACGGCACGAAATTATATCATGTTCAACCAAAATATCAGCGACATAACGAAAACGCAAGCGACGAGCGAGAACTCAACTTCTCGTTATTTGTTGTCGCCACGGACAAAACTTAGGGCAGAGAACAACTATTAGGTTGGATTTCGATAACGATCTGAGACGAAGAACTCACGGGAGACGTAAACCAAAGGACGACGAAGGTGACGCCATTGAGTATTCGTCTCGCGATATCTTGAGAAAACTGCGAAATCTGGCAAATCTGGAAAATAAAAGTGCAACTTTTAGACGACTTTTTCTGAACTGGCGCACGGACTGCTACGTAGCTACTGTAAAAGCAGAAATTTTCGGTGGTGTAATATTTTCGGTATTCGCCAGAATCGGCGGTTCGGTAGCGGGAAATTTTCGGTAAAACCCGTTCTCCAGGTAGGTTTACTAGTACTACATGTATACATTATCGGTTGTACCGAACATTTCGGTGCGTTTTATTTTCGGTAAAAATTGTCGGCACCGAAGTTACCGAAAATAAAACACCACCGAAAATTTCTGCTTTTACAGTACGTAGGTCTACGATCTACATTGAGGTTCCGGGGTACGATTTTCCGTGCCAAAATCCGTATGGGCGCTACGGATTTTTTCCAGGCATGCTCCATACGATTTTTCGGCACGGAGAATCCGTCTGGACTGGCTTTCACATTACAAACATTCTGCGCATTTTCTCCATCTGCGCATAAAATCTAGACTGACAACCTGCTTGTTAAAGGGGAAGTTAAGGCAAAAATTAAAATTTCACCAGTTGTAGTCTTCGGGGTGCTGAGTCGAATGGTCGTGGTCCGAGGAAGCTGAGACGCTCCCTTCCTACTTGAATCCCAATCGAACTCGCGCACTTCCAACGAAACTGGGTGACTGCGCCCTACGAGATGGGGATTTGTATGCAAAATGTCACTAAAAGCGCCATTTCGTTCTTATAAAAGCACGGATGACCGCGATTGGCCCATATGTTGTAGTCTTTTGGACGCTGAGTCGATTGGTTTTGGTCCGAAAAGGCTGCGATGCAGCTTTCCTCCTTTATTCCCAATCGAACATGGTTGAACAAGCGGTCACGTGCTCCTGCGTACACCAGTCACCTGGTCACCGTGCCTGCAGGGTACAACTTACTAGCCTGTTTGACCTTTTTTGGGTGCAGTCCTGTCACTCGAGTTGAACTCGAGTTGAACCTTGGTGTGAAAGTTGTCGCCTGCTGGCGTGGTGACCAGGTGATTTGGGCACCCAGGAGCACGTGACCGCTTGTTCAACAATGTTCGATTGGGAATAAAGGAGGAACGGTGCATCGCAGCCTTTTCGGACCAAAACCAGTCGACTCAGCGTCCAAAAGAGGACAACATATGGGCCAATCGCGGTCATCCGTGCTTTTATAAGAACGAAATGGCGCTTTTAGTGACATTTTGCATACAAATCCCCATCTAGTAGGGCGCAGTCACCCAGTTTCGGTGGAAGTGCGCGAGTTCGATTGGGATTCAAGTAGGAAGGGAGCGTCTCAGCTTTCTCAGACCAAGACCATTCGACTCAGCACCCCGAAGACTACAACTGGTGAAATTTTAATTTTTGCCTTAACTTCCCCTTTAAATCATGCACCTGCTTTCAGGCGTAAAAACCCTGTTGTAGAGGTCTCAGTCCTCATCAGACTTACCTATCTTTATAAATGTAACTTTCTCTCTAGAGTTTGCCCTCATAAGATCGGCAATTGCGAGCCGCTCAGCATAAGAGGTCATCGACATCGATCCAGGCGAGTACTCGGCTTTAGATCAGCAGCTGGTCACCATGGTTACCACGTAGCCCTTTCCCAAAGATACCAAAATATTTCGCAACCATATGCCAAAACAAATGAAAGTTGCTGAAATCGCATCCATATTTTCTGAAAAAGCTCACAAGTAACAGCTGCTTGATATCGCAACTCAAAATGAACACGTTCTTGTGCATACAATGATGCCAAAAACAAGCAAAAAAGCAGCGAAAATACATGTAGACAACACTGTACTGTGGCGCAGCACAATGGCCTGAGTAAAGTCATTCGTACTTAATTTTTTAAGTTTTCGTCTTGGGGTTAAACAAGGGGAAGTAGCCATGTAGGGGCATGAGCCCGCCATTCGGCACCGGAGTTACAGCTCGCTCGACTCGAGTGAAGAGAACCCACACCTTGATGTGCGCCTTGATCTCGAGACCATTGGACGGGGGAGCGCACTTCACCTCACCGGCACAGCTCAATAGCACCTACACGCCCTTTGTAGTCGGCTGTCCCCTATGTTCTCTTGATGTTGTTGTTTCTCTTCCATCCTTAGGTATCCATTCTACATGACGTTGGCATGTGCACTTTCATAAAAATAAAAAAAAATAAAAAAAAATAAAAAAGATCTGGTGAGCTGCGTCGTGCGTGGGGATTTTGCAGTCAGATGTGCACTTTGAAGCACGCTGAATGCATGTGTCCATAGAGTAAAACATGTTAGCTACGGAAAATGAACAGCCTTGGAATGAGTCATTGTCCTTTCTGGTTAATAGCAGCATTGCTCAGTGCTGCAACATACATGGTATGAACAATTGTACACTGTCATGTTCTTCCAGAAGTACACTTGTCATGATAATTTTGATGCAGTGATAATTATGTCTCACGGGTGCTGAAAAGTTGCGAAGTAAGTAAAAGTTCCCGAAGGGTTGCGAAGTGGTCACGTGAAAATGAAGAAAGTTGCGAAAGTTGCGATTTCTTCCAAAACAACCAAAATTTGCGAAAAAGGTGGCGAGCATCTTTGGGAAAGGGCTACTCAGGCCAGGCAGGGCAAATGCGGGCTTTGAAGGCAACTGCTGGAAAGATGGAGAAGGACTCTGTCGTCACCCTGATGGGCCAACTTGACCCAGACCTCCAGCGCACCTTCCCGCTCGCCTCTGAGAAAGGCCCGTCAAGTAAATAGTTGGTTGGCATGTCGGCCATTGCGTGGGCATGGCTTCACCGTCCACAAGGGTGCCTTCCGCGATGCCATAAGCCTGAGGTACGGA